CAACTTGCGCGCCCAGAACAAGGGCCGCGATGGCGCAAGCGATCTTTCCCATTGTCAAAAGCGAGCGTGAGGGGGATGCGTGTCTGGCATCGCAGCCATGATGACCATTATATCTGGACAAACACCAAGCCCGTAGCGTTATCTGGAAGCTTTCGGGACATGTCGATGTTCATGCGCACTTCGTATAGCACGGTCAGGTTGCCCAATGTGCCCTGTATGTGGACAGGAAATAGAAACACCAGCATGGAGATCGTGGATAGTGTCCACTTTTCAATATTAGCTATCGGCCCCTTTCCCCATTGCGGACTACCACCGGAGAAATGTAGGCTTCTCGCGGACCGAGCCTTGGCCGTTATGGCGGTGACTGCTTTAACTCTCTCACAAAATCCGATCTGCATCGTAAGATAGCCATGTTGCTGTCCGAATACGATGCGATAACGCGTGATGCGATTTCTTGGGGGAGAAGGACCGAGCTGTGAGCGGGGTCAAGAAAGCGGTTTGGCTTCATTCAGCGCCTCGTGAGCATGCCGCCTCGTATTGGAGGGGCCTCACGAACTCCACGGGACAGTCACGAAGCATGGCATTCGATGATAGGCGAAGGATATCGTAATGTTTGTTCGAAGTTGAAGATGTGACCTCAGCTCATGTCACGCGGGAGTGGCGCCTTCACGCGGTGGGGCTTCAGCGCCTAGCGCGCCCACCCCGCGAACCGCCAATGCTCTCTCCACATCCACTACCCAACTTACGACATCGTCGCATTCGCAGCCTTCTTGAACAGAAAGCTCATCATCGCTCTACCAGGCACACTCGCGCTCGCAGTCCCGTCACTTCCCACGGTTACAGTCGCAACACTCATATCGTGAGTATTATCGGTGTACCACGCCCTCACATCCGGATACCCAGCCAGCGCAACACCCACACTCTGCGCACCCGCCGCAGAATTAATAACCACAACCGCAACACTCCCATCCCCATTAACAAAAGCACCAGCCTTGACATTCGCCCCACCACTCGCCCCCACCCTCACAGCACCCGGCCTAACGACGCGAAACTGCGCGAAAGCCCAGAGCCGCTTGCTAACCTGGTAGTTCTGGCCGTCAACCAGAATAAGCTTCTCGTTGTTATTATTATTCGTAGCGCGGTCCTGGACGCCTTCCCAGAAGATGTACGCGGACAGATTGGAGTTTACGATACTGTTGAAGACCGTGTTCGCCCAGGTGAAGCCATCACCAGCGCCGCCGTTGGAATACCAGGCTGTGCTCCAACCGCCGCTCAGGTCTGAGTACTCGGTTTGCCAGACGCGTGCAGCGGTGCGCATGGTGCCGCTGATGCGCGAAGTATACTCGTGCGAGGTGATGGCGTAGACGAGGCTTTCGGCGCCGGCAGAGGCGATCTGCTGCGCGTGTTGGGTTGCGACGTTCCAGCCTGTGGCTTCGCAGCAGTTTATGCCCACGGAAGTCAGGTTCGCACGGTCGAGTGTGGGGCGAAGGACTTTGATGAACTCGGCGGCTTGGGTGCCGGATGATTGCATTGAGGCGTACGAGGTGGATAAGTCGGGCTCGTTGAGGAAGCCGAGGTGTGTGACTTTGACGCCGGCTGATGCGTAGAAGTTGATGTATGCAACGAGGTAGTTCGCGTAGGCTTGTTTCCAATCTCCAGAGCGGCAATTGGTACCAGAGACCTGGGGCAGGTTAGCGGACGCGATGAGGGAACCTCGGGGATGCACGTACACCACAGAGCTGGCCGCCGTTGGTGTCCTGGTTGTTTGTCTTCATGCATCCAGGCGCACTCCATGCATTCGCGTAGAAGGTATTTACGCCATACTCTTGTGCTCTCTGGCTGAGAAACAACTGTCCGCTATCCTTAGCATCCCAGACGTACCCGCTGTAGTTAGTAGTGACTTCAACCGGTGTGCTTGGGCATTTAGGAAGTATCGTGTTCATGAAGTCGCTGTTGCTATTAGGTGTTGAGCCAATACCGTTGCGCACGATTGAGAAGCCAGCGCCGGTAGTCGTGTTGAAGAGTAGATCGAGAACCTCGCGCTGTTTGGGCTGCTGGAGATTGACGATGAGGTTTGCGCGCTGGAATGCGCCTGAGAAACCGAAGCCGTCGATCGTCTGGTATGTCTTCGTCAGGTCGATGGTGACTTTTTGCTGCGCTTGGCGACTTTCCAGAGAGACTGCCGAAGTGACATGCGATATGGCCGCAAGGGCCACAAGATGCGACAATACAGAATACATGATGCTTTCAGCGATGATGAAATGAGCAAGACAGCGGAGAGCATCTTACTGAAGTATGCATTGCGGTTGAGATGTGGGGCTTAAACAGGCTGTTCATCGTATCGTTCAATCTGCATCCGGCGCAAATTTCATCGATATCGTGTGGTGATTTGCGCGTCCTATATTATTCTGTTTCCTCCGATCGATGCTACTATATACACTTCGTATCAGACATGCGGAGGACTAGTACCCCACGATTCCCTTGCGCCGAAGAGATTGAGCACGGATTTAGCCGACATGTCGGGTCCCGTAAGGAGACAAATATCATGAAAGCTGGACACCAGCAAGCGCAAGGCATAACGTCAATTGCAGCCAAGAACAACAAAGAAGCGTGGTGGTAGTGCTGCTGCTGTGCACAGTCAGGCTGTTGCTCACAAGCCTTCCACAGAGCGTCCACCTACGTACAACAGTCGCGGCCGCAGGATCGCTCCACCAAAGAGATTTAGGTGGCAGACGTTATCGCATAGGTCTACAGATCACTCTGCCAAATTTTGGTGTACTCAGCTCTATCCTGCGTAGCTCAAACAACCTTGATTCCGCGGGCTGCAAAAGGTGGCGGGGTGGCCCATCACGATAACAGGCCCATCACAAGGCCATGCAAGGTAAGGTTCGTTGAGATGCGGTGTCGCGAACGCACAACTGCGAGTCCAGTCGGCGAATCATAGCATGCAGCCAATGATTTAGTTGTTCCACGTGGATTGCTTTTTGTCGGCTGTACTCGTTCCTGTTCCGCCCTGGATCTAGATCTTGACTTCTATGGGGGCTGAGAGCTAATGCGGCTGATTGTCTTCAGCACGCATCTTGTTTGCATTAGCGGAGCATCTGTCCTAGAATCTAGAGTTAAGTGCATTAGTCTTAGGAGATGATGTTCCCAGACGTTTTTGGAAACGGTATTCTCGAGCGATACTTCTTCCTCGTATACAATTCATCGTGTGTTTGTTTTACGCCCTGTTCTAGCCCCGTCCCTGCAAACGACTTCCGTGTTGATTGATCAGTAAGTTGGATGAACTGAAAGTGTTGTCTCGACTGACGATTCGTGCAAAGTGACGGAGTCGCCGCAAACTGTAACTTGGGCCTCCGCGTTTTGGGGTCTCGCTGCCTTCGCTGTAAACTCCATGGGACAACCAGCTGGGGCTGTATGTGGTGTGGATGCCGACGTCAATCTTGAGCTACGCAGTTCACCCATCATGTGCGCTATCGATTCTGGCCTGATCATATGGCGTTTCCTGTACTGTCTTTTGAATCCGCCGATTCATCAGACCCAAGACCCCTGGGTAGCTCGCATACGTACTGCGCGAATACGACTGCTCAGGTTTCGCTTCCAAGACGAGTTCAGCGATCCTTCTCGGAAAGGAGATCTCGCTGATCTTTTGAGGAATCGATATGTTCGTCTTGTGGTTTTTGCTTGGACCCTTTCACAGGTCGTTAAACTCTACGGCTATAGCGGGATTCCATGGACGAAAGCGTTTGCAAGTGTATATCTGGCCTCTTTCCTGACCATCGAACTCCTAGTAACTTGGCACCGGCCAAAGATCGACGATGTGATTAAATCCGGCGAAAAGGAAGACCCTATACGCTCGTCAGGGGCCGACAGTCTTTCTTACATCTCTATTGCTGCATCCGTAGCATTCACCCTATACTTCGCCTCTGCAGCTACAAGAGATGCATTCGGACGACCTGAAGAAAGTACCTTGCGTTGGAGTGGTCTGGTAGTACCCATACTTGGTGCAGCGTTCTGCGTGCCAGTATATCTCTACAGCGTTCTCAAACGAGATCAGGTTGTCGAGCGAGATCAGTTTCAGCAAGTCATCCTGCCAGGCTTCCTGTTGATTCTACTTATTGCTCTGCCGCTCTTCCCGTACTTCATCGCTCCAGTCATTGAGCGTGGGAGTCTTGAGATTGTGTGGCACGACGTCTTCACTTCCCTGATGGTCGTTGCCTGGACTGGGATCTGCCTGAAATTTACATCGTCGGCTACCAAAGTTGTTCGAGCACTCGATAACGAACGAGACAGAAAGCGCATGGAAAAGGGAGCCGGCGTGTTTTTTCTTGTCCTCAATGCTGTGACAGCATATTTGTACTATAGATTCAGCTACGACCCGCGAGGCACTCAGAAAGCGTCTTGGACCGATAATTTGGGCTGATACTGTCCAATGTATGCTTGATTATAGATAAATGATATACCCTATCAAACAATTGATACGAACCACGCGCCTGAAAGTCTTCAATCGAGGATGCAAAGCAGTCTTCACACGGCTGAAACCCCTAGATCCTCACGACTATAATCTACGTTGGAGAGTCCCAAACGTCATCAACCCAACCATCCACCCACTCCTGGCGCTTGAGAATAATACCGGGACCTGCGCACAAACATAGCCGGCCGCTTTGGCCTATCCTGAACATCCGGAGGTACATCCAAAGCCACGCGCTTCGAAGCCGGTTCCCGGCATTGATCTTTCGCTACCACATCCTCCGTCTTCCCTTTCCCCAAATTCCCATTCACTATCTCCGCCGTCGTCCAAGAAGCATTCATGCAAGTAAGCAACGCGTAAATCTTAACAAACGCATGCAAATGACCAAACAAAAGATACGCGGGGAAATACACGATATCGCCAGGATGTTTGCGGAAGTGTTCTAGAATCTTGACAAACTTGAACGACAGGATCCAGATCGTGAGCGCGGATGCGCTGAGAGGGAAGTACTCAGACTTTCCGTACTGCTTCAGGGAACTACGAAGGGTTATGTACATACACATCTCCTGCGTGAGAGACTGACGGAAGAACCACATGAGCAGACTCCAGCTCATAAAGGGATGACGCACCCACGTCAGCCTACCCATCAACTGCGCGGGGTTATTGCGCCAAGTCGTTCGCGTCCAGCGGAGTACTTGACTCATGAACTTGGGCCACTCGCCCAGTTCCGTCGTCATGACGCTATCGGGACCAGCTTGCAGACCCATTTTCCAGTCATGTTCAATCAGCCAGCGGGTGTGGAATTTGTCGTCGTCGGAGTTTAGAGGCTCGGTTTTGAACGGCATGTACGAGTTTAGGTATCCGTTGAGGAACTCGGGCGAGGAGTAGATTTCGGTGCGGAAGACGCCGAAACGGCCTGGTAATGTGGACAAGCCGCGGTCGATGCCGTAGGTGCCGCGGTACTCGTAGGAACGGCGCATCAGGTAGGTCATGCCCATGAAGTTCCAGAATCCGGGCCAGGAGAAGGGGTGTCCGCGGTGCCGAGCTTGCAGGTCAGCGCTCACAGCTCCGACTTTGGTGTCTTCGAAAGGTGCGATCACGGAAGCGATGAAGCGCGGGGATTGGGGCCAGTATGTGTGATCGTCCTGGAGAATGACGAGGCGCGTTTCGACTTGCTTGAGTGCCTGTGCTGTTTGTTCCCGGCGGGAGGCCTTGACGCGATGGGCCACCACGACCTTGCTCTCTGGGAATAGAGCTCGGAAAGAGCGAAACTGTTCTGCGGCTTGTGTGCCGGCGGTTGCGATGATGAGCTTTGGTACACGTTGGTTGAGTATGGACCGGACGACGTGATGCAGTGTTACGGACATGAGGTCTGTGGTGGGTATGATGACTGTGACATCGTTGATGTGGTATGTGGGGTTGAGCGGTATAGGTGTAGGTCGGTATCTATAGGTGCCGTATAGACTAACAAGAACGCGGGTGTAGCGAAGAAGAAAGACGAAGAGAAAGCATATTGGGTAGATGTTGCGATGTAGAGACTGGTAGATGGGCCACTCTGTCTGGCGGGTCGACAGGTACAGTAGAGGCATCTCTAGGCTGTGACTCGTCTCTGGCAGTAGTGCGATCAACGCATGTGTTTCAGGAAACGGATCGGTGAGAGTCATCGTGAGCAGAGGCTAGATTCGCTAAGAATCCTGACTATGGAGATGCTATAAAGAACAAACGAAGGATGATGCAGTAACAAAGCGTTGTGGTAGAGTGCGTTGCTCATATCGAGACAGCGCAGGGAGTCCTTTATATCGCAAAGAATCATGGAAGAGACAGCGAAGTAGGCTGTGAGTATATGAGTAGTTACAGTGGTGTATTTGTGTCTGCTAATCAGCGCATATAAAATAGAGAGAAGGACGGCGATAATAGAGCGATCGCATTTGGTATCGTTGTTGTGAAGCAAAGAAACACGTGAGAGCCCCCTACTCACACAGCGACCCATTCGTAAGGCGGCAGCTTCGAATCATCCGGCTTGTCCTCCGGCAACAACTTATACGCTTTCGTCTTGCAGAATGTCCAGGCGAGTGCGTCGCGTAGCCTGATTGCCCAGGCAGTCTGAGGGAAAGCGAACTGAGGGAAGCCAGGCGGCAAGTCTGCACCTTGACCTTGGACCTTGCGGTACGTCTCTTCGTAGCGCTTGAGCGCAGCTGGGATATCGTCGGTGGACTTTATCTTGCCGAGTTCGCCTGCGAGGAAGTATGCGCCCTCGACAGCGAGGGTAGTGCCAACACCGAATGTGGCGTGGGCTGCATCGCCAAGAAGAACAGCACGATTGTTTGTCCATGTAGGAAGCTTGACGTATGCTGAGCGGCTCATATAGAAGTCGTCGCATGCGTCCATGCCGGCGAGGATGCGCTCAGCCTGCCACCCCGCATCGTCGAGATACGTATGAAGGATTTCTTTCTGCTTCTCGGGACCGCCTTCCATCGCTGCTTCGACGAGGGGATCGTAGTGTCCGTGTGCTGGCGTTGTGATGATGACGTAACACCCAATCGTCTTGCCGTTGCGATGCGGTCGCGTCATCAAGCCTCGGCCTTTTGGTGCGTTGTACCAATACCAGTGCTTCGTGTCGGATTCCTGGCGGGGAATGCTGAAGTACGCGACGTATTGCCCGATGAAGTTGTAACTTCCCTTGAGCGTCTCTTCATCCAGGATAAGGGAGCGTGTTCGTGACGCTGAGCCGTCTGCGCCAACAATGAGGTCGAACTTGTCTTTTGCTCCACTGTCGAAGGTCACGTCCACCGACTGGTCTGTTTGTTGTACCGCTGTGACATAGTCGCCGTACACGTATTTCACATTCTTCATACTCTTTGACGCATCCAGGAATAGGCCACATAGATCGGATCGCAGGATCTCATACTCGGATGTGAAGCCGCCTTTTCCGAACTCGGCGATAATCTTGCTTTGTGCGTTGATCAGGCGTGTGCCCTCCTCCGTGGTGTTGCGTGCAAGAACGCTTGGCAAGAGGCCCATCTTCTCGACAATGGAGATGGCTGGACCACGGATCTCGATGGACTGGCCGGTGGGCCGAGGGAATGGCGAGCGTTCTAAAACGGTGATGGAGGCATTCAGACCTGTTCTGGCGAGCCAGTAGGCGAAATTTGATCCTGCAATGCCAGCACCGTTGACAAGAACTTTGAGTTGGGGAGCTGTTGCGAGAGACATGGTTCTGATGAGTCGTTTGGCGATGATGTGTTGAGACATATCGATGGACGCGACACACGTTACTTATATACCTTGAAGTTGTGATGCTCTTGCATCCAAGGCGTCCAAAGCTCAGCCTTCGTGCGCTGAGGCACGCCTGACCCGAGATCAATCTGGCCCGAGATGCGTCAAACCCGAGCTCTTTGGCACAGACATCGCTACGAGGCGCACCTAGTCGACGAGCTTATCGCAAATAAGCACTGGCTAATGCGCCGCACCGACATGGGATGAATTAAGGTATATTGTCGTGCTCCAATAGTGTCGATGGAGGAGTGCTGCCTGGCGTGAGACGGGCGGGCGGTTGGGTTGGTGCGTTTCGCCGGGGCCAACTCGCCCTCCCCCGCCATGTCCACTCTGAGAGGCACGGGAGTTCGTAACTTCCGAGCTGTGAGTGCGAGCGCGTCGTATCCACCGTTTTTGTAGTGGCATGACGTAACGACGCCATAACGGCCGTAGCAATAGCCACTTTCTATCAAGCTCACGCCTCTTCCCCACGCCCACGGGTTTCAAGATTCTGTCCAAGCCTGCGAACGCTAGACCACCTAGAAACACCCCACACGATGGCGCGCATTCTTATCACAGGCTCTTCCGACGGTCTCGGATCCGCCGTCGCCAAACGTCTCGTCGCAGATGGACATTCTGTTGGTATGTATCTAAGATGCCCGTCTTAAACATCACCCAGGCGCTGATGCGATGCAGTTCTGCACGCGCGTAACGCTCAACGTGCAAAGGACGCCACGACAGCTTGTCCTGGGGCTGACACAGTCGTGACGGGCGACTTGTCCAGCCTTGCAGAGACCAAGAACATGGCAAACGAAGTCAATAAGCTGGGAGCGTTCGACTGCGTGATTCACAACGCCGGACTTTATCAAGGCCCATTCCGCAAGACAAGCGAGGGGATTCCTGCCCTGGCGGCCGTCAACACTGTAGCGCCATATGTGCTTACTGCACTCATCACCCGTCCCAAGCGCTTGGTATTTCTCTCTTCCGAGATGCATCAGTCAGGTTCTCCTACTTTGGACGACGTCCTTTGGCAGAAACGCGGCGAAGGCCAATACAGCGCGAATGCTGCCTACTGCGCGAGCAAGCTTCACAATGTCTTGCTTGCCAAAGCTTTCGCCCGCAGATGGCCTGACGTGAAGAGCAATGCATTGGATCCTGGCTGGGTGGCTACCAAGATGGGTGGAAGTTCGGCGCCAGGCAGCGTTGATGCGGCGGTCGAAAGTTACGTTATGCTTGCTGAGGGAGAGGAAGAGAAGGCCAAAATGAGCGGGTGCTATTTCCATCCGAACAAGCGACAAGGCACACCCCATAAGGCAACAGAGGATGAGAAGGCTCAGGACAAGCTGCTGGAGATTTGCGCTGAGTTCTCTGGTGTGAAGCTTCCATGATTGTCGACATACTCGAAGAGACGAAATGTCATTACTACTTCCTCTGATACCAGGGCCCCAAGACGCCGCCCAACATTCCTTCCCAACTTCACTCTTCCCCCGTAACCCTCCTCTCCCACAAAAACTCATAATCCGCCATCGCCTTCTTTACAAAATCCTCCAAATCATCCGCAAACTCCTCATTCCACTCCTCCGCCCACTTCTTCTTCTCATCCTCCAATTTCCTGCCCCGTGCCGCGAGTCCCGGTTTAATCCCCTGCAGAAATAGAAGAACGAAGTCAGTATATATCTCACATCTCACAAGCATTCCGTACAGCCGCGACTTACCTTACTCGCATTAATCGTACTCAAAAACCGCGCCATGAGCGGATTATCCTCGATTTTCTTCTCCTCCCACTCGTACTGCACGGCCTCGGGGTCGAGGCCACATTGGAGGCACAACTGGCGGACGGCAAGCGGGTTGTTCATGATGTCGTCGGCGTCGATGATGCGGGGGACGATGCCTGAGGTGGCCTCCCGCTCCGCGTACCATTCATACAACGCGCGGGTGTATTTTAGGGTGTAGGTTGTGCATGTGTACAACGAACGGGGTTTGGTGAACATGTCTGGGAAGGAATCTTTCTGCGCGCGCAGCATAGACGGGAACATTAGGATCGGATGCCGGATTTGGAAGATGGGTTGGAGGGTGAGGAGGAGGGTGTCGGGGACTGACGTGGGGTTTGTGTGGGTGTGAGGGGAGGAGGAGGAGGGAGAGGCATTGCGTGGGTGGATGGTTAGGGCTGGGGGGGTGTCGTTGGGGTAGACGGTGGAGAAGAGGCGGTCGGGGCCTGAAAGGAAGATTGTGTGTTCTTTTACGAAGGCTTGTTTGTTCTGTTGGATGTTTGTTAGTTGGGTTTTGAAGATAGGGATTGTGATAGTGAGGAGTGAGACGGGCCAGCCCGAGCACGTCATCTTGTGGGCGGATCACGACGGGCGCATGTGCGGTTGTGGCGCAGCCTTGCCTTGTCCTTATAACTTTAAACCCCACATCTCGACTTCATCTCTTCCTTCCCTACTTACATTCTTCGCGCAATCCTCCAACTCGTCCTCCAAGCTGCCAAACGCCGTTTTAAACGTCTCATACAACCCGTTCCTCTCCTCCTCAGGCCATTCGCTCAGCGGCCCCTTCTCAAGATTCATCAGCGTAGCAAAGCCGCCGTCGAAGAGCTTGTAGCCAGAGTTCTGGTAGCCGGGCTGCTTGGACATCATGGTTTGGAAGAGATTGGACGCTGAGCGGGGGTGCGTGAGGAGGTAGACTCCGCGGCGACCGGGGGGGAAGGCATTGGGTTGGGGTGTTTGGAGTGTGCCTGGCATGGTCGCTTGCTTCCAAGGTTAAGAAGATGTGGTAGGTTGGTTGGTATGGAAGAAGAAGAAGAAGAAGAGTCTTGATAAAATGATCGATCTATCAAGCAGAGAGAGAGGGAAAAGAGCAAGGCGAAAGAACTACCGGCAGAAAAGAGCTGGCTATCGCAAACAACTTATGCGCTTGCGGACGAATACACCCCGTCACTTGTACCTTGTATGAGGATCATCACGCTGCAGTACAGCGGGCTACCGACTGCCCGCCCTACCCAACGGTCTCACCTCCATGGTGTATCCACTTGCGGTCTACGGCGACCGAGGAGTCCGAAAGAGCGGAGCTGATAAAGCGCTGCAAGGCGATATGGCTTTAGGCTGTGGCTGCTGTCAAGGCTACGTAAGGCTACGCAAGGCCACTGTCCACTAAGCGTCGCATGCCAGCCCCGCACAAGGCGTAAAGTGACTGCAGTCGCCTCGCGCCAGCGGCCGACAGACCGACGTTACACTATCGGCCGAAATATACGCATGCAGATCCGTGCAAGCATACGCACTTCTAGTATGTACGACCGCTACTTTCGTACATCAGGCAAAGTCAGGCGATCTCGGTGGATATTGTGTAGTAACAAGCTGGGATTATGTGGGGGTATCATGGAAAAATTATCTTATCAATCAATCTGATCAAA